TATTATTTGGAAAAAGCACAACACTGAGTTCTCACTGCAGCGACCAGAGAAGGGAATTGATTTAGATCATGTTCTTGACATCAAAAACCTAAAAATCATTTAAAAACCAAACCTGAGCTGGAGAGAAAGCCACCACAGGCAGTGGCCTGCAGGCCACCCTGGTTTTCTCCTTGCCAGGAGCCTCTGGCACAGCAAAAAATGTTGCCCAACACCTTGGAGCGCTGTTAGTTACACATCTGCTGTGTCAATGTTTGTGATATATCCAAAAATAAACGTAGGGGATTGCTACAGCCCTGCCAAAGGGTGTTCAACACGGCAGACACAAAAGGATTTTCCCCAGTGTTTTAAATTATAGGATATATTTCTGGTGCAATTTTACTGCTTTCATTTTCTCATTTTCTCCTTGTAGTCCCTTTCTCTGAGGGAAAACACCTGCCTGTGCTGCCCGAAAGAGAGCACTGCAACTGAAAAAGGGGCAGCATCGGCCCCTCGATGATTAAAGTGACTCTTTCCCCAGCGTGACCACAGGAGCACGGATGCTGGTGTGAAGCAGGCGGATTTGCCAGCCTCTTGGGCTGAAGTTTGATATTGGGTATTTTTCCTTTTCTGTACTTTTGCCAGCAACAGCAAATGCTCAGGGGACTGGATCTACACCGGGATGCAGTCCTGCGGTTGGAATGAAGGTCCGAGCCTCGGATTTACACTCGGAGCTGGTGTTCACAGCTGCAGCTACTGGAGAAACCAGACCTGGTCTTCTGTGAGACACAGAAATGCAGGCTGAATACCAGGAGTTGGTTTAATTCCTTCTCCATTCAGTGCATCCTAAATCGTGCCAGGAGGGAGGAGCAGGGGACGATGCCTCACCTGCTTTGAAGGACCAGGGGTGCCCAGCGAGAGCGCAGGACCTGGGCATGGCTGGGGAAGGCAGGGTACAGACCCCAACTCATCCACAGACAAACTGCAACACGTTGCAGTCCTGATCTCAGCACCCTTTATCTCAGCAGAAAACAAAATCTGTCACTAAAATCAGATTATTGAGGCAATTTGGGACATGGGCTGCAAGCACGAAAAGCTCACTTTAAGAAACACTACTGCACTGACAGTGCGTGTGTCAAGCAGTGGTGTACATCAACTGAATCTGCAGGTTTTTACATGAAATCTAACGCAAATGGGACCTGGGGGGAGAGACACGCAGGGTCCAGCTTTTGGTCCCTCCTGGGAGGACACATGGAGGAGCAGCCACCCGCCTTCCTTGCAGGTGGCTCCTGGAAACGCGGGGCACCCTGGCAAATATTAGCTGAGAAAACATGTTTGGGGCTGACATCTGGCTTTGGATGCGGTGCCTAAATATCAATACCTTTCATGATTGCTTCACGGCAGGGAAAAATGAAATTAATCTTTTTTGTCGCACAATAATGAAACTCAATTTCTACAGAACCCTGGGGGAGAGGGACCATCCATTAAAGAAAAACCTATTGACTACACTACAAAAACACCACCGGAATCTCCTAGCAGGCTTTAGCTACCTGGCACACCAGAATTAAATGCCAAAGTGCATTCAAGTATCCTAAACTTGTATTTTTATGGAGTAGTCACTGACCACCCCCGATGTTTAGAGATACTATAAATCAAAGGAATAGGATTAGCATCCAATAAAGCTTCAGCGGGAAGAAATATTCTTGCACAAAATTAACCCAGCCTTAGCTAGTCAAGAATGCCACTTTTTAAACTACGGGATTTAAAGATTATGAGAGGATTTGTACCCATCTGTCACTTTTGGCCTCCTTTCATTTTATAAAGCTTCCTTAGTCAAACTTCACTAAAAATCTTGTCAACATTTGACTATTTTTAGATGAACTCATTTTATTCGGTAGCTCTGATATACCGATTTCCTAAAGGGAAAGATTTACAAAAAGAAGCACTAGGACATTGAGTCCATCGAAGCTGCACGTTATTAATATTGCATGCTGCTGGAAAGGCCAAATTAAATTGCAGAATTGTACCAGTAGCCCAAGCCATCTTGGTGCAGTTCTGTTTTATTCTGGAAAATGGATGCAGCTGAATTGTAGCCGTTTCAGGAGACACCCCCGGGGTGAGGGGAGTTAGCTGGGATGAGACAATGCAAACCATCTGAAAATGACCCTTCCAAGAGGGATGGGAAAGGTTTACTGGATGGAGAAGGTCTGCCCCTACATGCAGCACCCTGCTACAGTTGGCTACTGACCCCTCGGATCACGTACCTTAAAACATCTCACTTTCTAGTTTCCGTGGTCAGCGTGTAGCAGAACTCCAACTGCTCGGGATTGCAGAAATTAAACCCTTGACAGTGCTCTCTGGGATGGGTTTTGCTGATGTCTCACGTACCCTCCTGCCAGACAAAGCTGTTATTTTCCCCTTACATCACAATCGCTTTTATTGTCACCATTTTGATTTTTAAAGATTGGTTTCTTCACTTTGTACATACCACCAGCAGCTCGATCTTCTCATTAAATTGACTTGGGGATGGAAAAGCACTAATAAAAGAAAAACGTCACCAACACAACCGCTCAAGAGCTGAATAGCTGGAGCGCTTGGGATCACGAGCAGCTGCTGCAATTATATTTAGCTGCCCATTTTCTGTGCTTTGCTCACAATCAGATCCTACTTCAAGAGCAGGTAGCATCATTTCTGCTTTTGTAGTAAACAAGTGACATGATTGGAATGATGAGCGGGCTCCATCTCCGTGTTTTAATCTCTAAAGGTCCCTACCTAGTGGGGAAGCTGAAATTCTGGCTTTTTATCTACAGCAAGCTGCACTCTCTCTCCGTTCTGAATGTGTGTATATGCTGGGACTTTTCTAAACTAGTTATTTATGTAGCTTCTCGTTTCTACATGATTGTTTTATTGCATTATATAAATCCCCAAATGCGTGTTTCAAGCAGTTTTTATCTTTATTTTCTCTGTACAAACACGCAGTTTTCAATAAAGGAAAATGCTTGCTTTCTCCTCTGTCAGGAGTCAGTATTTTCCTCCACTGCATTTTTTCCTCCCTAACAAACTTCTATCAATCAAAATGACTGGGGAGATGAAGTGACCAAACCAAGGAAAAAGATCTACATGATTCATTGGACTGGTAAATTCTGCATTAAAAAAAGATAAACAGGAGCAAGAGAAAGCAACAACTTTTGAAGCTTATTTTTTATGCATCATTAAAAACAGGCCATATGTGATTAAGCAAATGTCCCGCGACCTCATTTTAATTCTGTTGTCCTTTGAGAACTCATATGACTCCTTAAGTATGTGACATGTCGTCTGCAAACAGCCCTGTACGGGGCTCGAGAGCATTGAAGATCAAAGCAGTTTAAGAGAATCAGGCTTATTTACTGGGTGAGCGTGTGAATATAATTGATAAAGTAATAGAGCATTGTAATTACTTGAAGTTACTAAAGCTCACAGCCCTTTAAGTACCCGGAACGCACAGTCTGCAAATGGCATTTTAAGTTGCTCGAGCGCTTTTGAGATCAAAGTAGCTTAAGAGAATCGTATTGCTAGTGAGTGGGAGTCTGAGTAGGAGTCTGAACAAAGTTGATAAGTAGTTGGAGCATTTTAAGTAGTTCAGGGCACTGCAGCATGAGTACAAAGTAATAGGACAAAATAACACCAGTTCTCAGTGCTTAGTTTTCCGGAGCTGGAAAGAAAGAAACTTCCACTGACAAGAAACTCTGAAGATGGTAGAGTGCCATCTAACCAGGTCCAACCACTCAGGATGGTGTCTGGAAAACACTATCTAAATGGGATGAAAAATCCAGTTACGAGGTCTATGCTTCTGTCTAAAACAGCTGGAAGGAAAGCCTGGAGATGAGCTCAGTTCCCCGAGGGCACCACCGTGCCAGGTACAGTCAGCGGAGTAACAGAACAAGAAAGTGCCACCAAGGATTAAGGAAAACCCCAAAACGAGGACATACTAAGTATAAACTCCCTTTTTGTACTACAAGGCTGCCCGAGGCTGGTTGGTAGAACTGCAGATGAAAGGAGATGGTGTGTTGCAGCTCTCCACCACGAGTGGTTTAAGTTAACTGGAGAGGCAGAGAGCAGTGTCTTCACTGTCACTGGCCCAGGAGTGCAGTGAGCCAGGCGTGCACACACCTGGGGTGGGAAACACACGGCTGGTCTGTATGGACCACTGTCTGCCATGGATACTAACTCCACAGTAAAATAGTGATCTGTTCTCTTTGTTTGATTCCTTCTTGACAAAGCTGCACCGTTAATTTCAGTTTATCGAAACACAGAGAAACTTGGTAAGATTGAGGGGAGTAGACAAATAGCAGATATTGGTGGCTATTTTAAAATATCAGCGAAAAACATCAACAGCTTCTCATTTTTTCTCTGTAATTGTAAAGGCCACCATGCATCAGGAGAACTCTGTGAAGAATCCAAAAGCTGGAAGACATTTCTAACTACTTTAAAACAAAAGGCTAGTAAAAAGTATAAGCTATAACTAAGAAAATTTCCATATTATTAAGACACAAATATCAAAACCGAAACCCTCTGTAACTGCACCATTAAAAAGCCTCCAATACTCTACAAATGATCTGGTTTTGGCTATCCACATGCATCATGTCACATTTAAAAATCAGATTCCGTGACTATCTGGTACAGTCTTAGCTAAGTGAGCCCCAAAAAGAAGTTAGCAGTGAAGGAGGAAGCAGCAGAAACCAGGTCACACCACTGGCAGAGACAATAAAGAGCCAGGGGTAGATCAATCAACATCAGTGCACTACAAAGGACAAAGTGCTGTTAGAAAAATAACTGTCCTTTCGGCTAGTTAGTATTCAATCACTGAAGGGGAAAATTTTCTACCTCAGCTTGATTTCAGGGGAAAGAAATGTTTCACTGACTCACTTCATACCTTTGAGGACAAAGTTCAATTTTCAGCACAAGCACTAGTATTTGGGAGGAAGATTGAAAGTGAACAATTTTTTTTTCAGTAAAATGTAACTTAGAAAGAAATGTAAACATACCTGCTTCATCATAGGATACAGTCAATTTTTCCAGCATTTCTCGATCGATTGATAAAATCTGCTGTTCCAGGATGGTTTGGTAAGACAGCACACTGTTCTCCTTGTCCTTCTCATAGTCTTGAAGATGTTGTTTTAGGACTTCAGGCAGGCGGGACTTCACATATTCTGCTGCAGACTATGGAGAAAAGAGGCAAAGGTTTAATTAATACATTTTCTTTTAAAAAGCTTTACGTATATCCATAGCAATTATTTTTTTAAAAAATGTAAAGCATTCTCAAATGTGACACCTCACAATAAAACACTCTTAATGCTACTAACTCCATGGTGCAAAATCCAAAGGTCATTTCTCTGCCCAAATGATCCCTGCCTGCCTCAAACTTCCCAGGAGTTGGGGACAAAATTCCCCAGAGTTGAGGTATAACCCACACTTCAGCAGGGAGTTTATGGCAGTCCAGAAAGCCCATGCTAGACTAGCCACACACCACAATAGCTCAACTTCTTCATTGCTAACATATTTTGAAACTAAGTTATGAAATATAATCTCTTTATTCTAAATTTTCAAGTACAAAGTGATCGAATGGAATGACTTCTCCTGCTATTGGTACACAACCAGGCTCAGACTGGGAGGCAGAAGGGACTCTTTAACAGCATCAAAAAATGACATATATACATGCATCCACACACACAAAATTCTTTTCAAGTTTTTTTCTCTGACTGCTCAAGGCCATAAGAAAACAGAAGTTAACACAAGGTGGCATGGTTGTACCGATGTTATGGAGCCTTGAGCAAACACGTAAATGGGAGTAATTAATAAGAGCATCTGCCCTGGAGAGGTGTCGGTCCCCCCCGAATCCCTGCCACCACCAAACACCTCTCTCCCTCGGGGGCTTGGGCTCAGGCTCCTTGCTGTGGTCCAAATACAAAGCAGCTTCTGGTTTTTAAGTGTTAACATCCCTCTCCTGCAAGTCTTACACTCCCACTATAAGAGGGAATAGAAAGTCCCTCTTTTTGGCATGGGTTTGGTGGGGCTTTTTTTGCTTTCCATCTCTGATATAAACACAACTGGAAAAGGAAGGTGTAGCAAAGGCTGCTGCCCAGTGCTCCAGCTTTCCTGCCAATGTCAAGACAAAAGAGAAAAATAAATGATAACAAGGTTATATTATTTCAGGCCTGAAACTGACCAAAAGTTACTTTTACTCAGCAACAGGCTCTTCCTGGGTTTATATTTAGTTTCCCAAAGTCAATTGCCTATTAAATTGCAACCTTAAAATATCACTGAAGTTGCGTTCAATTTTTTTTGCAAGCTAAGCCATGTGAGACGAATGAAATTATTCTAGGAAAACTAAAAGAGCTCTCCACACAAGTACAGCATATTTAATGTTACATTTTAATAGCGGTTTTCTTCCAAGGGAAGGCCAAAAGATACACTGTACACTAATCATTTTAGTCCAAGTTCAGGAGTTTGTGTTTGATGTTCCCTTTGAGAAGAGCTTTTACTCTGCAGGGGAGTATTTTTGTGCTCTCCCTAACACAGCAATTCTGAACAGCAGAAAACAAAAGAAGGATTTATACATATTCTTCTGAAATACATCTTCTGCCAGCCGAGAGAATATTTGAATATTACTGGCTGTGCACACATAAGAAAAAATGCCCATCCTGTCCCAAAGATCTTGCCACCCAAGGAAGACTGAAGAGACAGATGGGTACAGGCAGATGGAAGGCCCATCAGGACCATCGGTGGTCGGCTGATGGATGGCTGTCCCCAGTCACCTGCAGCTCCATTGTCAAGTTTTTCCATGGGCATCAGGGTGAGGAATACACCGATTTCAAGTGTGATCTCACAAGTGGGGTTTTTCCCCCCCTTGGTGAGAAGCAAAACCCAACACTCTTGCTTAGTCCCCTGCCTTTCACATTATGTCTAGATGTCATTAAAGATTTAAACCGTAAAGCAATGATGGAACCGAGACAAACTCCTCTCCTTTTGTAGCAAGAAAGGTGATCAGCGACATCTGAGTAATTACATCCCTTGCTGCACTGCAGTGATGAGATACTATATTCTATCCACTACAAAAGTAATTTTATCTTGGTTTTAAAAAGTCATATGGTTGGATGGGGCTTTGAGCAACCTGGTTTAGTGGATGGTCTAGTGGGAGGTGTCCCTGCCCAGGGCAGAGGGGTTGGAACTAGATGATCTTTAAGGTGACCTTGTAACTCTAACCATTCTATGATAATATTGATAAAGTGTGAGGGTGTGAGTGCATGTTTTTATGCACATGCTTGGTATTAAAGAAACCAAGAGGCTACTGGGTGAACAAAATTGAGGAAAAAAAAAAAACATTTTACTACTTTAAGGCTTCAAAATAGCTTTATCCTCTTCCCCTCTGTACAGTCCCTCTTACTCCTGCAGGAAAGAATTACAAACATAGTTGCTCCTCAGCCATTAGTTATAGGTACAACTAATTGCACACCATTTGCTGGTGAGTCTTCCTCACCACCACCCCCAGGAGAAAGCAACTTGGAGCCATAGGCACTCTAGCAGGGAGAAATGCAAAGAAAGGGTGGTCACTGCTTCAACACAACCACGTAACAGAAATGCATGCTGCTGAACTCTTACTCCTCTTGTCCACAATAACCTCCTATTTTCTGGAACTTATCCCTTTCCCTTATACAATTGAAACTGCAGCATCCCCTGTGAATGTGTTTTCAGTCTGAAGCATCCTTCTCCAAATTGAATAAAGGATTGACTTTAATACCTTAATTGACTTTAGGGTATTTCATCCCACTATGGAAAACTAGTATTTCATATATATAGTATAAATTTAAAAATATCTACATATAATGAAATTTACTTGCAGAGCTTATTCACAAAAAATCACATTTTTCTCTATTCACTAAAAACAAAAACCCCCTACACAAAAATCACATCAGGAAATACTGAAATCCCTCAGCTGTGTGGTTACCTGAGCCTTGAATGCAGCCAGTATCCTTCTGTAACTACCAAATTTGCCCACATCTTTTCACTGATGAGAAACACATACCCAAAGTAAATTTTCCTTGTTTAAATTATGCTAACCGCCTGCTAAAATTTGCTCTGCTGTTTCTGAAGTGTATCCTTCTGGGAGCTCCCTTGTATGTGGGGAAGTAAAGGTCTAAAACGGTTAATTAAAGGCTTCTGTATGAAGCTACTTCAAAAGTCAAGCGGTGGCTTGTCAAAGCCATCTCCTTACAGAGTTATACTGGGTGATTTCGGAAAGGCTTTCAACACACAGCAGAGTATGGAAGACCCACAACCCTTAAGAGACAATTGCATCCCTGTTCATCTTTATCACATTCTGCAGCAGTTCATCAGTTCATCTGATGAACACCAAACAGTGGAAAACCCTCTCCAAGGGGTGATGCCCTGGGAATCCACTCGCTGTTGGTAGGGTTGGACAGAAGCAGGAGGGCAGAGCACTGGGGCCAGCTCCCGAATCACACAGCTCTCCATGCAAATGCTTGCACACAGGGAAGATACACCTTCACGGGCACACGTGTAAACACAGAAGAAGTGACCCGAGTACTCTATGACAAAATGTGTTAATTAAGACGGCAAGTGTTAAGCAGCTCCACGACCCCGTGAAAAACGAGGACGGCAAACAAGAGCTACAGTAAGATCAGCACACTGACACATAAAGCAGCTGAAGGATCTAATTAGCTGGAACAGCCATTATTTATAAACACAGATTTCCAATTTAAAAAATGGAAGACGGACACTTTATTGCCTCAGACCCACACTCTGCACTGACTTCTGTGATTTACAGGGAGAGGAGGGAAACCACAAATTTATGATGTTAATATTCTCGAGACCATTCACTCTGCCTGCCCGGCTACTGCAAACATCTGGAGACCACGGGGAAAATACCAGATCCATGTTAGTGTGGTATGGCTGGTGTAGCACCGACACCAATGAAGGATTTAAAAAACCATCCAGATTCCTCTATGGTGTCTTGTTGCCTCTCCTTTCCACGTGTTTCCCTCCCCTTCAAAGACACAGGGGTCACTACAAGAAGTTTCCTTCTTCAGAGATGATACACTATATGCTACTGGGCAAGAATAGAGTTTACCTTATGAAAAAGAGGTATTTCAACTTTATTCACTTCCTGATTTATTTCAGGGAAATAATTTTTAAGTAGGAACAAGTCAGTTTGACAAATAAATATCTGAGGTGGGTACAAACAAGGGAACAAGGGTGTAAACCCTGGGGGAAGAGCCTGTTGGCTGTGATAACCTCATGGGAAAGAAACATAATGAAGAGCAAAGTGGGAATGGTCTGTGGACCCTATTAGACATCTCCGTAAGAATTGTGGAGAATACACAGAAGGAGCTGGAAGGGAATTAGTACAGTATCAAAACTATAATATAACCGGGTGGTAAGCGAGGCTTGGTAAATAATTCACAAGACTAGACTGTTAATAGAGACGATATACCTTACTGAGAAAGGAGGCTATGGAAATAAAGAAATGCCCTGCACATCAAGAGAGAGAGTAGTTGCTCTTCTAGGTCCAGTCTGCAAAAGGGAGACAGACCTGCTGAAAGTCATCACGTAACAGATGAGAAGCAGAGGGCACTACCATAGTGCAGGTCCACCCGATGCCAAAGAAAAAGGCTGCAGACAAATTGGGGTTTTTTAACCAGGAACTGGAATAATCAACCAAAGGATGAGGTGTAATGAGGTACTGCAACTACTCAGATATGTTAGAGGAAACATATTTATCCAGCATCCCTGGAGTGCATTGGTGATGAAAGTAGTGAAGACCATGGTTTGGCTGTGAGATGTCCCAACACTGAGAAGCCCCTGGCACAAGGAAGGCAAAAGACAGCTTCCGTGAAGGTGACGATTAAACAACAGTTCATGGTCCTTCAGGAGGAAAACAGGACAACAACATAATAAAGACAGAGGACTTTAAAAGAAGGACACTTGAAGATCTCCCATGCTTGACCAGAAGACCAACAGCTGCAAGTGAAAGGAGAAAAGAAGGTATGGGGAGCAAACATTTCCTTAGAGAAATGACGCAAGTGAAAAACATCCCAATGTAGAAAAAATCTAGCAATTAACCTGGCTGTCATAAGGTGCTCAGTGATCTCAAGCTCAAGGACACATATACCCAGTCAGAATACCTTCTGAGTATAAAAGAA